CGCTCGTGCGGCTGCAGCTGGACCACGTCGCCAGCAGCATCACCGCCGCCCACCAGATGACGGCCGCCGCCCTGGGAGCCATCGACAACGCCCACCGCACCATTCTCCTTCAGATGAATGCCGCCGAGAATTCCAAGCAGCCGGGTAGTGCGCAAACCGACAGACACCCAGACGGAACGACGTGCGGCCGTCTATCTGTGTGCGTGTGCAGATTGGTGCAAGGAGTGTGCTGCGGCTGCTGGGAGGAACAAGAACTTCGTTTGCCTGGTCAGGGAGGAGGTACTCCGCCCGTGGGACATTCACGGGCGTTCCAACTACAACGAGTACCAGGTGGTGGCCATCATCCAAGGCGGCGGGTGCACCTCTATTGAGCAGATGAGGGGCGTTTGCCACCAGACCGAACAGGAGATAGGAGCGCAGCAAACCCACTGCGGGCTGAAAACGGCTTAGACAGAGATGTAGAGGGCAAAGGAGGGAGAGAGGGAGAGAGGGAAAGAGGGAGAAGGGGAGAGAGGGAGTCACTTCTGCTGACAGCGTTAGATAGCTGAGCAGCTACACCGTGTGTTGCAGACAGACGGGCTGGCGGGACACACACATGGGGGACACGGACACACAGAGTTTTAGTGGTCATTTTGGAGTGTGTGCGTGTGTGATTTGGATAATCCCATCGGCTGTCTGTGTGTGGCTGTGGCTGCCTGTATGTGTTGTGTTGGTGGATGGACTGCCTGACTGTCTGGCATGGGTGGTGTTGGCCGCGCATGCCCATGTCCACGGCCCGGCTGCAGCGTTGCATTCACAAACGGATGGATGGATGGACCACTCCCATTGTTTTTTACCATCAAGCGGAGCGCATCACACGGACAGGTTAACGTACATCCAGAGTTGGGCCTCTTACACACACACACACACATGCAGAAAGTATCACACCAAATCCAGCACCACCACCACCAGCGATGCCCTAATGAGCCAACCACACACACACACACAAAGCTCGGGTCAAATCGTGTGGTTCTTTTCCACTCCAGCGCACCTGGCTTTGCTGCTGCTGCTGCTGCTGCTGCATGAGCCTGGCTGGCATTATGCGCCAGCACGGCTTTGCCCTCGGCTATTAGCTCGGCCGCCTGCTTTAGACAACTCATTCCCTGCACACACACACCCACACACACGTGTGACGTCTGTCCGTGTGTGTGGGTGCTGCCGCCTGTGGCTGCGACGACAGCCGCGTTGTTGCACACCACCCAGTTGCCGGAGTCCAGACGGATGGCTGCAGGTATGTCACACACACATACACAGAGAGTGGCAGAGTGATTGCCTTCTCCTCTCCCGGGTTGTTTTGTTGCCCCACCGTGCAGGATGGCATCCAGCGCCTTGTCGAGGCTGCCCGTCTTGTAGTGGGCGTACGCTGACCGACCAACACATCCCACATCGATGGATGGATGGATGTGAGCGTCACGTCAGTCGCCGACCGAGTGCGGTTTGTGCGTATGTAGCTTCAGACATGAGGGAGAGGCCCTCGCTGATCACAGGGGAGTGCCCTCAGCATAACGTTCCAGCACTAAAAGAGAGAGAGAGAAAGAGAGAGAGGGAGAGGAGGATGGGTGTGGACGTATCCCTGTCTGTCTGTCTGTCTGTGCGTACGTATGCAATTAAGGGCCATCGCCGTCGCTGGTGAAGGCTTTGTGGGGTGCATTTCCTTGTGGATCGTCTTGTTGAGCAACGTCTCTCCGTCCGATGAGGTCAAGCACCTGCTGTCCACACTGGGAGAAGAGCAGGAGACACCGACATACACCGTGAACGAGTGGAACTTCGCGGACCTTCTGATCTGCCGACTTGCGCTTGGCCTCGCTCTTTGCCTTCGATTTGGGCCGCTTGGCTGCCAGCGAGGAACCGGCTTCATGATTTGATCTGGCGGAGGAATACCTCCACACGGTGGATTTCAACGGACCTGAGGGAGTAGGAGAGAGCAATGCGTTTCAATGAATGAATGTGCTGACCGGTCCGCGGCGGAGCCACGTGCACATCCGATTCGCTCGCTGGCGGCTGAGCCAGGCGGTTCGTAAACGCAATGGTTTTTCCAAACCCTAAACCCTGAAGCTTTTTTTGAAATCTCGAAGCAGCAAATCACCACGCGCATCTCCGTCCGTCCCAGTAAGCCGTCACTCGCCAGCCGTCCGCCTCCGTACAAAAGTTGTCACTCTCCAGAGTCAACCGCAGATCATCCCCCCCTCGGCATGATGGAGCCGTCCACCTCCCCAGCGGTGCTTACCGTCCCCGCACAGCCGACAGCGTGCCAAAAATGCTGCTCTCCCTGCGACGAGAGCGAAGGCATGGTCACTCCGAGAGGTACATGATGGCTGTGCATTCATCGCCACACATGAGGCATGCAGTCTAGATCTCCCCTCCCTGTCTGTATGCGGTGCGTCATGCAGAGCCGCCGGAGGAGGAGCGCAGTGTGGTCTTCCACTCGCCAGTGGCGCACCGGAATGAGAGATCCGACTATAATGGCTATGAGGAGGAGGAGGCCGATGAGGGAGGCAGCTCACTGGGGCTGCTGACGGTGCTGCTGCCGTGCTTTGTGGCCCTGGCGACGCACACGTGGATCCACAGCCTGTCCATGTTCGAGATCTACCTTCTGCGAGACCCTGCTCTCAGGTATGGCGCCCCGCCGGTTGGTCACAGGACATTCCTTCCTGCACTTTTTGTTCAGGTATACGACCCGCACGCACGGCGTCATCATGTCGCTCTACTCGCTGCCCGAGATGCTGTCGGCCATCGTGGGCGGTCTCCTTTACACCCTCCCACGCGCACCCACCCTGCTGCTGGCAGCCATCACCTTCGAGTGGGTCGGCCAGGTCATCTTCGCCGCGGCAATCGGCATGAACACGCTCCCCTTCGCATTCGTCGGCCAGTGCATGGCTGGGATGGGTGCCGGCATCACGGTGGTCATCCAGAGGGCCGTCATGTCAGGCCTCCTGCCGCACAAGACCACCACGGCCATGGGCCTCGCCGTGGCCATCGCTGCCCTCGGCCGCACGACGGCCAAAGCGACTGTGGCTCCCCTTGTCGACATCTCTGGCGGCTACAAGAACGCCCTCGCCTGTGTGGTGCTCTCGACGTCATTCTCCTTCGTGGCTGCAGTGATTTTCGTCTTTCACGGCAGGAGAGTTCTGGGCCGGATAGAGAGGCAGACGCTCGGCCGGTCGGCCAAGGGTGAGGGCGTGGGTGTGGCGCGTGCGTGGGCCGCCATTGCACAGGGGGAGCTGACGGGAAGGTTCTGGGTGCTGAACGTGCTACACCTGTTGCTGCTGGCGGTGCTGCACACCTTCATGAACTTCTCGGGCGACCTCATCTTTCAGGTACGTCAACGTCATGGATGCTGCCATCCATCCATCCATCCATCCACTGTCCCTTGTTGTCTGTCAGACCTGGCACACCGGCGATATCGCCACAGGGCTCCTCTCGTCCATAGTGACCGGCCTGGTGATCATCGTGCTACCCCCAATCACCTTTCTCCTCGACACATTCGGCGGCGGACTCTCAGTCTGCCTCACAGCATGCATCATGACCCTCCTGGTGCTTGTGGGGGCGGCCACTGCCGGCGGCGCGCCGCCGGCCCGCGGCCCAGGGGGCGAGAAGAGCGTCGTGCCGAGTGTGGCGTCGGGCAGCGGCCCGGGTAGCCGGGCCTTTGCGGGGCTGCTGGTGGTGGTGCTGGGGTTCACGGAGGCGGTGGGGCCGGCTGTGCTGCTGGGAAGGATCCCCCACGAAGACAGGTGCGTGTGTGGGCGAAGGGGTGCAAGAAGCGACGCCGTAAATGAGTTGTGGTCTGCTTCATTGTCTCATTCCTTCAGCGTCCGGTCGCCCAATCTGCACGGTTTGGCGTTTGCCGTGGCCGAGGTCTCGTCCGCCCCCGCAGTGGCCATCCTCAACGCGTCATTCGGCTCCATCGCCCAGTCCACCCACACCTACCTCTACCCCCTCCTGCTCCTCGCCGCTCTCGCCTGTCTCGCGGCATGCCTCCTTGTTGCTCTCCTCGTCAAGGAGCCGAAACGCGGCGCGGCTTTGCACCACGGCTACTCTCGCGCGCGGCTTGGGGTGATTGGTGTGGCTAGGAGGGAGGCCAGTGAGGGGTGGCGGAGCTGTGTCGGGGAGGAGAGCGCCTGCTCGCGGGGGCAGCAGAGGAACGGCAACTGCACTGGCAACGGCAACGGGAACGGGCAGCTGGCAGTCGATGATGTCGGGGACGGGTATAGGCCGCTTGCAGACGAGAATGGCGCGTAGGCGCTTGTTCGCCTGTCTGTCTGCCGGTTAGGAGTAGGTTCGGTCATTCACTGATTGGTCGATTCATTTGTCGTCGTCGTGGACGGACAGACGTCTGTCTGAGAGTTTTCCTCGGTCTGTGCGTGTGTGTGATCGATTCCACCTGTGTGTGTGTGTGTGTGTGTCCGTGAGTGGGGAGGGAGAGGTCAGGGCACACAGACATACTGGGCGAAAGCGCCATGTCTGCTCCCGGTTTGTGGGTGAGAGATTTTCTCAGACACGGGACTGATGGCAACGGCCAGGCGTCTAGGCTTTTCCCACTCTTGCTAGCCATATGTGCTGCATCCATATGACGTATCGACCTATGACCCTACCCACACACCTGATGCATGTCCTCAGTGAGAGTCAATGGCATACTGATTGATCTGGGTACTGAACGTGCAAGCTTCAAAATACCACACCACAATTGGAGACATACTGTCTGTCGGGCGAGAGCGGCTGAGGGGCTGAGACACGCTTCTCCACACACATTCGATCATTACGAAAAATAGCGCGACGTCGGGAAGAGAACAAGCGAAGCCATACATATATACGTCGAAACCATATGTAACTACTGAGAAAGAGACAGCCCGCCCGCCCAACTGGGGCGGGCTGAGCGCGTATGCTTGAGCTCCCACAGCCAATCACAAACCCGCGGTTGGTTGAGCCAGCTAGCTAGCCAGCCTGTCCACCCGAGACAGCGAGAAAGCAGACGTCCTTTGCCGTCGGCCACTCGGGTGGGTGCCTGAGAGCTGTCTGTCACATTATCCTGGCTGGCGACAAATATAGATAGATGAGAAACTCATATCTAGGCGGCCGGAGAACTACAGAACGACCGGAGAGCTACAGATAGGTAGACAGAGGCATCCATCGGCCTATACGACGTACTTCCATAAACAGGACGGCAGCAAACACACTCATAGACACACACGCATAGACGCACAATCAGATTGGTCCGTAGACGGGCGGCTGGTAGGCGGTCAGCACAGGCACAAGGGCGTAGTTGAGGGTGTCCGTCACGCCGTTGACCGTCGCATACGGAACGAACAGGGGCTCACACGCACCCGTGTGCTCAAACAGGATCACCGACTGACACACACACACACACACACACACAGAGGAGGGACAGAGGACAAGGACATACCGACAGGCCCGAATACTACTTCTGTCTGTCTGTCTGTCTGTCTGCCTGTCTGCCTGTCTGTGTCGGTTACGTATTCGCAGGGGCCGGTTTCGCAGAAGAGGCCGATGGTGACGGGGGTCGAGCCGTCGAAGCCGTCCGTCGCGATGGCCGCAGCGTCCTCATACACGCCAGCAATCGGCGCATTGGCGCTGGTCACGAAATCCCTGAAGATAGACAGGCACAATAGAGACAGCCATCTCCCTCTGTCTCTCCCACTCTCCCTGTCTCCGTCTCCCGTGTCTGAATGTAATGTGTGTTGGTGCGTGTGGACCTCACTGTGTGGCCTCGTCGAATATGATGAGGTCGACATTGCCCGATAGCGACTGCACCGCCGCCACGAGGAAAGCGGCCAGGTCGTAGATCGCGAAGGCGTCCTGGATTGTCAGCGTCACAATCTCCTCTTCAGCAAGGTAACCTATCTCCTCATCGACGAAACCTGTATCGCAAGCCCGCCCACCGACAGCGATCTCGTCTTATCTGTCGGCCCTCCCTCCATCCCTCCCTCCCTCACACAGGAATGCACCTACCCGGGCAGGGGGGCACGGTTTGTGTGGGGTCAGGGACGGGAGCAGGCCCAGGGACCGGGGCGGGCTGGGGAGCTGGCTGGACTGGTTGGACTGGCTGGACTGGCTGGACGGGCTGGACGGGCTGAGGGTACTGAGGCGGCACCGCACCGGGGGGTGGTTGACGATCTGCGCAAACAGAAACACCCGCGCATAGATGACCCGCATGCATCGGGCGTGAAAGCATATTGGATGCAGCTCAGCAGCCCGGTGCACGTGATGTGTTGAGACTCACTCGCCACGGACAGCCTGCTGCCGATTCCCTCGCTCTCTTCGTCTGCGTCGTCGTCGCCGTTGTCGTCCCCATCATCGATGTCTGTCACGTTCATGTCATCGATCATGTCGGTGAGGTCATCGATCATGTCTGTCATGTCATCAATATCGTCCTGCAGGTCGTCCACGTCATCACTCAGGTCATCCTGACGACACAGAACAGAAGAGGCAGACAGACAGGTCAGAGAAAGAGGGAACAATAGCTTCTCGTCTCTGTCTCACCACGTCATCGGCGGCGTCATCGACGTCATCCGCCACGTCATCTGCCACGTCATCTGCCACGTCGTCGACGTCATCGTCAGGCGGGGCGTCCTCTGGGGGCGGCTGTGGGCGGCGCTTGTAGTACCCTCCATGACGCGCACGGTCGTCTGCATGACCACACACAACACACTCAGCCAAAGGTCGCCCACACCGTGTCGTCCGTCGCCTGATCTAGTGTGGCGGCTCACCTGCCTCACTCTCGTCCGCATATTGGTCGTCGCCGTCATCATAGTCGGTGGTGTTCTTGTCAGGGGGGTAGTAGATCCCTCCGCCGCCCCTGCGGCGGCCCTTGTTGATGGTGAGGGTGCCGTGACCGTGCTTCATGATGTCCACCCCGCCGCCCATGTCCTCGAGCAGTGTCTTGAGCTGCAGGAACCGCTCCAGCACCATCTCCAGCTCGGCTGATTTCTCCTCCTTCGGCCCGGGGACGTTGTCGATGTAGTGGCGGCCGCCAGCCTTTCTGTCATCCCGTCCTTTGCCATTGTCGGGGCGGTTGTCGGGTCGGTCGACGGGCCGCTGGCGCTCGTGTGTGTCCACGTCTGAATCGCGGTTCAGGAATCCGAACAGGTCGGGGAGACCGGCCGAGCAGAGTGCCAGGCAGCTGAGAATGGTGCAGAGGGATAGGAGGCGGAATGCCGTACGTGGGAAGGAAGAAGCCATGCCGGCACACAGGAGACGATTAGTTCGACCTTCAGGGAGATTTTCTGTGTGTACGGTACGTGTGCGGTACGCATTTGTGGCCATGGCAACGAACGGACATAAACGGCCAATGATTGATGCAGGCGACCACGCAGCAGGCAGTGCGTCGGTCAGTCACCGCACGGAAACATGCAGTAAGATGAAAACGCGTACGCGAAGTCCATCCACGGTGACGAGACGCAAAAAGCCCTCATGCATCGTCCGTCCATGTAGACGCCATTCACGAGCCCACCACACCACCTGTGCGCCTCTGGCCTGCCTGAGCACGGACACGCTCATCCACCCACTAATATTAGTATTCACACTGAAGAGTCCTCCCCGGCCCATCCCTCCCCTCCCTGGCTCACCAACTCCTCCCCTCATTTCCCCTCCCTCCCTCAATTAGTCGCTAGCTAAAGACGCAGCCACCCGGCGGCTGGCCCCACTTCACTCACAGACAAAGAGAGAGACGTGAGGCTGATCCATCCATCGTCTAGTGCGTGCTTGGTCCGGTGTTCAGGCATATGTACAGACAGGCAGGCAGGGAGGCAGGCAGACAGACAGAGGGAGGGAGGGAAGGAGGAAGAGAGGGAGGGAGGGAGGGAGGGAGGCAAGACGAGAGCCGGCCTGCGTGGGTCACCGGATGCAGGGAAAAACCGCCCCAGGCAGGCAGGCTGGCAGGGAGTCAGATAGATACTCGTCTGTCTTTAATTATGGCGCACACGCACATCCTGCAGCAGCAATGAGTGCATTTGCGATAGCTACAAACCAGGCAGGAGGCAGGAGGCAGGCACTACATCGTCTGACTAGACACTCACACGACTACGGCTCGCTGGCTGGCTGTCTGTCTACAGCTAGAGCTACAGTTCGTCGTGGCCTGGCGCCTCTGTGGACTCGCTGCCGCCCTCCTCCTCGCCGCCCTCCATGTCGCCCATCTTCTCCTGGGCCTTCTTGATCAGCTCCTCTACGTCTGCCTCAGCGTCGCTCGACGGCTTATCCCCTGCACACACACATACACACAAAATGTGATAGACATACTCAGCTCGTGTGGGTGGGTGGGTGGGTGGATGGGTGGGTGTGGACCTTCCTCCTCGTCCTCGTCTTCATCCTCGTCGAGCGGGCCCACATCGACCTCCTCGATGGGCGCCTCGGGGTCTACACCGATGTCCATCGACAAGTAGCGATACCTACACACACACCAGCAAACAGACCATATATACCACATTGCTTGCACAGCCTGGTGTGTATGTTATGTGGAGGTATGTGGGCTCACAGTTTGGCGGCCATGTCTGTTGGGTTCTCAACGTCAAATCCCGAGGCCAGCATGGCGCTGTCGAAGAGCATCGACGCCGTCGCCTTGGCGCCCTTGTCCTCCTCGTCAGCCTGCGCACACCCACACACACACACACACAGATTTTTGTGTGGCTGGCTGAGTGTGTGTGTGACCCACGTACCTTGATTTTCTCGAGTAGCGACTTGATGACGGGGTGGTTGGGATTGATTTCGAGGACCTTCTGGCCGGCCATCATCTTGACCTCGTTGTTGTTGGCGAAGGCCTGCGACTTCATGATCTTCTCCATGTAGGCCGAGTAGCCCCACTGCGACGCCACCACGGCCACAGGGTCCTCCACTAACCTCTTGCTCAGCTCAACCTGATGACACACAAGCACACAGAGAGAGGGGAGGGTGTCTGTGTCTGTGTCTGTCTGTGGGTGTGGGTGTCGCGGCGCTGTTACCTTTTGGATTTTGTCCTTGAGGTGGTTCTTCCACCACTTCATGAGCGGCTCGTACATCTCCTTGAGCTTCTTGTCGCGCTTCTTGTCGTCCTCGGACTCGTCGAACTTGATGTCGCCCTTCTGGATGGACACCAGCTTCTTGCCCTCGAAGTCGAGCATCTTTTGGAAGCACGGCTCGTCCATCGACTCTGTTGCCATTTCGTTGCATGCATTGCCACACACACACAGAGAGAGAGAGAGAGAGAAATCCATGACTCTCTCTCTCCCTCCCTCTCTCTCTCTCTGTCCGTGTGTGGGGGTGGGGGGGCCTGCCTGTGAGGAAGACGACTTCGAGGTCTCGTTTCTTGAAGGCCTGCATGTGTGGGGACTTCATGAGCTGGTCGGTGGACTCGCCGGCCATGTAGTAGATGGTGTCCTGGTTCTCCTGCATCCTGTCGACGTAGTCGTCGAGGCCGATCTGCTTGTCCAGCGACTTGCTCGTGTGAAACCTGATCCATATCATCCACACGACACGCGCACAAGGAGGGACACACAGACGAGCACCACGGTGAGTGTGCTGTGCCGTGGACCACGTCTCTGTCTGTCTGGGTGGCGTGTGCGTGTGTTAAGTAAGATGGTCTCTTCATTCGTGTGTGTGACGTCTGTCTCATCACGATCGCGTCAGCGTGGAGTGATTTGTGTGCACGTCAGCTAATCCTCAGCGATCCCCCCTCCCCCTTGCCCTCCACACGAGCACACACACGCAAACGCACCTGAGGAGCTTGACGATCTTGGCCCTGTTGGAGTCGTCTTCGTAGCAGCCGAGCTTGAGGTTGCGCGAGAACTGATAGTAGAACTTGTCGAACCGAGACTTCTCGTCCTTCTTGGGCTTCTCGTCTTTCTTCTCCTTCTCGCCCTCGGCCTCTGCACGACCAACATGACAGACACCGACACACGGAGGCGCATGGGCGCATGTCATGTTTGGCTTGGGGGCTGTGCTGTGTGTGTTGGGTGTGTTGGGTGTGTTGGGTGTATGGCAATGTGTAGTGAGTGTACCTTCCTCCTCCTCCTCCTCCTCCTTTTTCTTGTCGGCCTCCTTGGCGAGCTTCTTGAACAGCTCGAGCGTCTTGCGCACCAGCTTCTTGCTGATCACCTTCATCACCTGCACACAAATATCCATCGCCCACGCGACGCAATGGAACACACTTTTTTTTTCCATCCATCCATCCATCCTCCGGCCCATGCACCAACCCACCCACCTTGTGTTGCTGCAGCTGCTCCCTGTTGACGTTGAGTGGCAGGTCGTCCGAGTCGACGACGCCGCGCATGAAGTGGAGGTACTTTGGCATGAGGTCCTCGAACTGGTCCGCCACCAGCACCCGCCTCACGTACAGCTTCAGCTGGCTCTGCTGCTTGAAGTAGTTGTCGAACATGTCCATCGGGGCGCGGCCGGGGATGTACAGAATCGACTGCACTCACTCACACACACACACACACACACAGGTAGACACCGACAGGGAGAGGGAGCGGTGGGTGTGTGTGATGGGTGGCTGATGGGTGTGTGGTGGGTGACGGACGGACGGACGGACCTTGAATTCGATTTCGCCCTCAGCGTTGAAGTGGGTGTATGCGAGAGGGTCCTGGTAGTCTTTGGTGGTGCTCTTGTAGAACTCCTTGTACTCGGTGTCGGTCACCTCCTCCTTCGGACGCAGCCATATCGCCTTCTGCGTGTTGAGCTGCTCCCACTCCCTGCACACACACACACACACACACACACACGCGCAGACACATGAATGAATGACCGTCCACCCACCCAGCTCCCTCCCTCCCACCAGTATTTCTTGGTGACAGATTTGGTCTTCTTCTTCTTCTCCTTCTTGTCCTCTCCCTCGTCCCCTTCCTCCTCTTCCTTGACCTCGACGTCCTCCTCCTTCTTGTCCTCTTCGTCCTCCGCCTCGACGGGCACCTCCTCGGTCTTGCTCTTCTCCACACGCAGGTAGATCGGGAAGGATATGAACTGGGAGAACTTCTTGGCCAGGTCGCGCAGCTTGTACTCATTCTGAGGGTGGGTGGCGGGGCGGCAAGGCAAGGCAAGAGTGGGCAGGGCAAGGAGAGAGGGTGTGTGTGTTGGTGTTGTCGCGTACGCACCAGGAATTCGGTAGAGTCTTCCTTGAGGTGCATGGTGATGCGAGTGCCCCTGCCGAGTGTGTCGCCTCGGGGGTCCTTGGCGATCCTGAAGTTGGCGTCTGCAGTCGACTCCCAGATGTGCTGCTCGTCGTCGTGGTGCTTGGACGTCACCTACAGCAGGGCCAGCCATTGCATGGACACACACCACACAGGCAGGCAGGGATGGTGTGCTGAGTGAGGTTGTGCGGGGTGGGTATGGTATGGTGTGGGGGCTGCGTGTCGCGCGTACCGTGACTTTGTCGGCGACGAGGAAGGTGGAGTAGAAACCCACACCGAACTGACCGATCAGATTCACATCGGCACCTGGCACATCATACACACCACAACACACAACACACACGTCCACCCACCCTGTCTCTGTGTGTGTGTGCGTGTGTGTGCGTGAGTGTGCGTCTGACCTCCAGCAACGGCTTCCAGGAAGTTTGTGGTTCCGGATTTGGCGACAGTGCCGAGGTTGTTGATGAGGTCCTGTTTGGTCATGCCGATACCCGTGTCGGTGAGGCTGAGGGTCTTGGCCTCGCTGTCCCACTCTATCCTGATGTCCAAGTCCTTCTTGTCGCCCAACACCTGCAACACACACACACACACACACACACACACGTGTAACCACCGAGTTGACGAGTATGAGGGTGAGGCTGCAGGGTGTGGTGTGTGTACTCACCGCTTCGTCGGTAACGGAGAGGTATCTGACTTTCTCGAGCGCGTCCGCGGCGTTTGAGATGGTCTCGCGAAGGAACACCTCCTTCTGCGTGTACAGACTGTTGATGATAATGTCCATCAGCCGATTCACCTGCACACAACACAACACACGTATGGCCACACACAGAAGGAGGTGGGGTGGCTGTGTGTGGGGTGGCTGTGTGTTTCTGCGGACCTCAGCCTGGAACTCGTAGTTCTCCGAGGACTTGCCGAGGGCCTCCTTCTCCTCGTCAGACATGGAGTCCATGTTCTTGCTGTGGCGCACACAACCAAACAAGACACATACCATCCGCAGTGCCTAGTGCCCGTCTGCAGCCTCTGAGCCGCGTTCCTCACCCATCAGCGGGCTTGTTCTTGGGCTCATCCTCTCCCTCGTCGTCGAGGGCACCTTCGTGCCCCTCGGCCGCGAACTCTTCAGGCAGATCTTCGTCCTCACACACAACTACACACACACATGGGCGGTCAGCATGAAGCGGCCACGTGCCGTCTCCGTGCTGTCTGGCTGTGCGGCGCACCTGTGTTGAGGCTGAGCAGGAAAACCAGGGCCACGAGGCCCAGCAGCAGCCAATGGCGCACCATCTCCGAGAAGAGGAGTGTGTCGAGCCGCCGCCAAGGGAGATCGGCGCAGGAAGGTGACCAAGCTGACAGTCTCCGCACCCAGCAGCGGCTTTCTGGTGTTTTCAACGCTCCCTGTGACGTGGTCGATCCACGTGTTCATTCTTCAAACCCTAGCCCTGGACCCTGTCGACTTTTCCCTCCTCAGTTGCGAAGATCTACCCCCTCTGTCTACTTTCCTCATGTCGTCACGCCGCCCGGGGATCTTACCGCCGCTGTACGTGAATTTCACATATCCCCAATGATGGCTCGTGTCCTCGTTGCGCCCCTCATCCCCCTGCTGCTCGCCTCACATGGAGTGCTGTGCCAGGCACAGGTGACGGCGGCGGACGGGCAGGAGCTTGAGGAAGCCGGACAGAGCTTGCGAGGCTCCGCCAGCCCCACCCCGACGGTTCCGCCGGCCGTCAAGCAAAAAGAGTGCCGCGTCCTCGACAGATTCAATGCGACCATCGAGCCGGGCGACTATCGGAAGATCTCCATCGATCTGGTACGAAGTAGGTTGGAAAACTGACACTTCCATCATGTGCAGCCTCTTCTTTCTCTTGCCCTTCAGGATGAGCTGCGGACGACGACTTCTGCAGACGTAGATGTTGTTATCGCTTCCAATGCTCTCCGCGGCGATGGTGACCTTTTCACATTTGTGGACGGGTAAAGAGATGGAGAGATACGCACACACACACACTGCTGCACAAGCGCGTGCCTCCTTGCAGCGAAACATGGGGGGAGTCGCTTCAACCGTCGTGTCCACTTGAAGATGGCTATGGGCTCTGTCGGCGTCGCATTTTATGAGGGCTCTTTCTCTCTGCTGGAGGCATATATTGTCCCGTTCGGCAATGAAACCGCCATGATGGTACGTTTTGAATGCCTGATGAATGACGGCCGCCTTGATGGGGTTTCTTGTGTGTGCAGGATGTGATAGTGTACGCGACGGATGAGGAGTGCGAGCCCTCGGTGTCCATCAGCTTGGCAGGGTGTGCCAACCCGATCTACCCTGGAAGTGGATGGATACCCTCCCCTCTATCCTGCGCTTTTTGCCCTATCGCTGGCGCTCGGCCCGGCCCAGATAAAGGTGGGTCTCTCGGAAGGAACAGAATGCAACACAAACAAAAGGCTGTTGTCTTCTGTCACAGGTGGGTTTGAGCAACCAGACAGAGGCCCAGACACACCCAGGTGATGAGGGGGAATCGGTGAATGGCGCACCCAGCTGCAGTGCAGATGGGGTGCCCTCTATCGGCTGTCTGTCCATCGGCTGTCTTGTCTGTGTCTTGTCTTTCCTGTGTCGCAAGTCATATCGCGTAATGTGATTCCCTTCCCTCCTCTCTCTCGTGAGGCCATTCTTTGTGTATGCTGTGGGAGTTAAGGGCGGTCAATCTGTCCGTCCTGCCTGAGGATTGCCTGTTTGATGTATGCGGCCTCCCTGCCTGTCTGCCAGTGTGCCTGCCTGTCTGGCATGTACGTTTCTGTTTGTGCTGATCTAGTGAGAATGAGAATGCGTGGGCCTCGACAGACTTGTTGCTGTCATGGCTGATTTGATTGAGTGAGCGGATGGCGTCAGTCAATTGAGAATCGACTGACTGCCTCTGATAATAAGACTCCCGGGAACAACGAACGGTTGCTCTTCCGTTTACATTTACCGTACGTGCCGGTGGCCGTCGCTGATAGGACAGCTCGGAGCTGCCTTTAGTAACAGTGGAGTCCCCGAGATGGCTCGTGTCGTCGTGTCCCTCATCTCCCTGTTGCTGGCCTTCAATGGAGTGATCTGCCAGGCCCAGCTGGCCACGGTGGACGTCGACAGGCAGGAGCTCGAGGACACCATCCAACGACTGCGAGAAGGGTTCCTGGCACCCGTGCAGAGTAAGCAGGAGCTTGAGGTATCCGCCGAAGCAAGTCCCGCCAACGGCAGTCCCACATCGACGCTTCCGCTAGCCGTCAAGCAAGAAGAGTGCCACGTCCTCGAGAGGTTCAATGCGACCATACAGCCGGGCGACTATCGGAAGATTTCCATCGATCTGGTAAGACCAGACGAGAGGTCAGGCAGCCGACGCGTCCAGCATCTGCACCTTCTTCTCGCCGTTGTTTCTTCAGAATCAGCTCCGCAGTGATGGCTTTGTTGGGGTGGTTGTCGCGTCGAATTCGCTTCGTGGCGACGCAGACATCTTCACCTTCCTTGACAGGTGAGCGTGGGGCGAGAGATGCACTTACATATCGACCACGTGCTCGTGCAGGGAAAAGAGGCACAAGTCGCTTGAACCATCGTGTTTTCCTGAACCGGGCCATGCTGATGATTTTGAGGACTATGCCGGCTTCTACCTGGCTTCTCTTTCCATCGTCGACCACACTCTTCTGGAGGCCTATATCGTGCCGTTCGGCAGCGACCCCGCCGAAGTGGTACGATGCGAATGCCTGATGGCCACTGACGGCCACTCTGATGGGATTGCTATTGCTGCAGGATGTGATAGTGTACGCGACGGATGAGGAGTGCGAGCCCTCGGTGTCCATCACCTTGACAGGGTGTGCCGACCCGATCTACCCTGGAAGTGGATGGGAGCCTGCTGAACTTGGGCCTGACGAGAATGCTGGCGCTCGGCCCGGCCCAGATAAACGTGGGTCTCTCGGAAGGAACAGAATGCAACACAAACAAAAGGCGTGTTCTTCCTGTTTACTTTCACAGGTGGCTTTGAGCAGCCAGACAGAGGCCCAGACAGAGACCGGTGATAAGGTGACACGCAGCTGCAGTGCTGGTGTCCGCTTTGCTCATGCGGCCGGGCAATAGACATTTGTATCTGTGATTTTTTCCTGTTGGCCGTCCAAAATGGTGAGTGTCTCTGTTCTCTGGGTTCACTTGTGCTCTGTGCTTGATTAGATTTGGGGTGCTAGCGTTCATGGCAGATGCATTTGATTCTTATCCTTCACTGGTGTGTGTCTGTGGTTTTGCTTTGACGGAGGGAGGGAGGGAGCCAGAGCGGCCGAGGGTTTTGTTGTGTGAATGCAATTAAGGCTGCCTGTCTGTGTGCATCATGCCCGTGTGCTTGATTTGCGTATGTGTGTACAGTACGCTGTATAGTCGTAGATTTGAGACAAGAGCGGAATTGTTTTGACGTGCTGTTGTTTCGACACTCATGGTTTATGCGCACATGCATGCACATGCAACACAAGGCGCCATCCACACGATGGCAAGTTGTCCACATGAAGGGACGAACGAATCGGGGTCAACGTCAACCATCCATCGACAACAGAAAGGCACGACGACTGGGGTAGGGAGGGGCCAGTCGTCCAGGTGACCTCTACCGAACGACCGAACGACTGGCCCCTAAAAAATCATCATCACTGTCGCCACGCGCTTCATGCACCATCGCAGCGTCCTCATTATGTGTCCGTATTCGCCACATGTGTTTCACACAACTCAGGCAAAAACTCTCTCTACCGTCGGTGAAAGTTTTGTTGTTTTGCTGCATTCACGTGTGTGTGTGTAAGGGCCGACCTACCAGCCGTCCAGCCAGCGCAGAAAGGAGTGTTACTGTACACGGCTCGCTCACTCAGTCACTCAATCACTCGTTTACCATCAACGACCGACTCACTCATGTCATGAGAAGAAAATCGCTCCGCTCCCTCATGTGCACCGCTCTCCCCTCTTTCTCTCCTGTCTGTGTGTGTGTGTGTGTGTGTAGGTATGCACATGGATGCACGACTGCACTGCACTACGGGCGGCGCCCGTCCACCCACCCAGCCACTCATACATCCTTGCCCCCCCCTCCACCCTCCAACGTGCGATGGTTGTCTTCTCTTCCTGGCCCGCCCTCTCGGCTTTCTTGACTGCACGTGCTCGTTCGCCTCTCGAGCCGCCGACAGCACAAGGTCGAAAGCGCAAGAGGAACACGAGGGCGTGCAGAGAAGAAAGCCATGAGAGCGACAGCTCACATCCATCCATCCATCCATGAGCCCAGATCGGCACACAGTCTACGTCTTACACCGCACAGACACTCACACAAACGATCCCACCCACACGCGCAACCAAGACGCCAGGCAGCCAGCCAGCCGTCCAGCCGGCGCTCGTCTTCGAGACGAGCGTGAAAATTGCACCAGGCCGGGCCAGGCTGGCTGGGCCACACCACACCACACCCACACCACATCCGCGACAAAAACAAAAAGAGAGAATTCAAGGCAGGCAGCCCATCGGGAGTGAGGGAGTTAGTTGGAGTAGTCGGAGACATCGCCGCAGGAGCAGACGAGGTTCTTCTCGCCAAAGGGGTTATTGACGCGTCCGACGGTGGGCCAGAACTTGCCCCTCATGTGCACCCAGGGGGCGGGGAAGGCGCCGACCTCTCGAGAGTATGGCCGGTTCCAGTCGCTGCTGCACACCTCCTTCTGCGTGTGGGGCGCGTTCTTGATCGGATTGTTGTCTTGCGGCTGATGGAGGCAGCCAGGCGACACACACACACACACACAGGGGTATGCAGCCGTCCGTCATGAGACCTCTATAGGTCGGCCTCAGTGGGTGGATTGTCTTGCTTACCCATTCGCCGGATTCGATTTTGCCGATTTCCTCGCGGATCATGATCATGGCGTCGCAAAACCGATCCAGCTCAGCCCTGCACACAAGCACAGACACAGACCACGGCTCATCTCGAGTCTGTCGGGGGTCGCTGGGTGCTTCTTTTTACTCACTGGTTCTCTGATTCGGTTGGTTCGATCATGAGGGCTGATGGGACGGGCCAGCTCATGGTGGGCGCGTGGAAGCCGTAGTCCATCAGACGCTTCGCGACGTCCTCCTGCACACACATCGACACACGCACATAGAAGCGGATGAGTGGGTCTTTGTTTATGGCTGAGTGCGTGTGTCTCCGCGGCTGACCTCAACGATGCCGCATGACTTTTTGAACGGCTCGACGTCGAGGATGAACTCGTGCGCACACCTGCCCTTGGCACCGGCGAACTTGATGTTGAAGTGGGGCTTCAGCCGAGTCATCATGTAGTTGGCATTCAATATCGCCATCTGACACACACACGCATCGCATGGCCAAGCCACACCACACGCCACACGCCACACACATGCATTCCCCCTCTCCCTCTCTGTCCTGTGCTGTGTTGTGTGAGGTCAACCCACCTCTGCGGACGCTTTGAGGCCCTGCGCGCCGAGCATGGCGATGAACATCCACGAGATGGGCAGGATCATGGCCGAGCCCCACGGGGCGCCCGTCACCTGAGGCCCCCTCTCCACCGTCCCAACCGGCACGATGCAGTGGCCGGGCAGGAAAGGCGCCAGGTGCTTCCTCACACCTGATGTCGTTAGACACACAATACACACAGAGAGAGAGAGAGAGAGATGTGTGTCGGTTTCGGTTAGAGCGTTGTGAGTGTCTGTGCGCACCGATTGGTCCGACGCCCGGCCCGCCGCCTCCGTGAGGGATGGCGAATGTCTTGTGCAGATTCAGGTGGCACACGTCTGCACATTCTCACACACAAACACGCAAACAGCGATTACAAATATCACATTCGTGTGTGGGCACACCACACCCATCGTGTGGGATGGGATGAGATGTGTGAAGTGCATGGCACGCACCTGCCCCAATGATGCCCGGGGAGGTCAGCCCCAGCTGCGCATTCATGTTTGCGCCGTCCATATAGACCTGCCCCCCGTTGTCGTGCACAATCTGGCATATCCTCACAATCTCCTCCTCAAACACGCCATGCGTCGAGGGGTACGTCACCATCAGCGCGCTCAGGTCCTCGGAGTGCTCCTTGGCCACGGCCTCCAGCTGGGCCACGTCGACGTTACCCTGCTTGTCAGAGTCGATGGCCTTGATGCGCATGCCGGCCATGACGGCTGAGGCCGGGTTGGTGCCGTGGGCGCTCTTGGGGATGATGCACACGTCACGGTGGCCCTCGCCGATGGACTCCTGGTACTTGCGGATGGCTAGGAGACCCGTGTACTCGCCCGTCGCGCCACTATTCGGCTGCAATGAGACTGCGTCAAAACCTGCACACACACACGAGAGAGAGAGAGAGAGGGAGACAGAGAGGGAGGGAGGGAGAAGGGGACTGGTGCTGTGTGGTGTAGTTTGCGGCTCGTCCGCTGACCGGTGATGGTGCAGAGGTATTTGCTGAGCTCGAAGATCATCTGTCGGTAGCCCTTGGTCTGCTCGGGCGGCGAGAAGGGGTGCATGTTGGCGAACTCGTTCCACAGGATGGGCTCCATGCTGCTGGCGGGGTTGAGCTTCATGGTGCAGGACCCCAGGGAGATCATGCTCGTGTTGAGGGCCAGGTCCTTGTTCTCCAGGTACTTCATGTAGCGCATCATCTCGGTCTCCGTCTGGATGAGGTTGAAGATCTGCTGCGTCATGAAGGACGACTTGCGCGCGAAGGCCGCCGGCATCTCGCCGGTGACGTTCTTGGACAGCTCGGAGGGGTCCACCTTGACGGGCTGGCCGTACCTGGCGAGGGCGAACCCCTCGAGCAGCGTGTCGACGTCCGCGACGGTATGGGTCTCATCGAAGGCGACACCGACCATTGTGGGGCCCATCGAACGGATGTTCATCTGGCGAGACCTGCATACACACACACACACACACAGAATACGGCACAGCACATGGCTGGGTGTGTGGGGGGAGGGGGGGGGGTGCGTGTGCCTGACAAACTGACCTCATGATTTCGACCATGACGTCGGTCGACACGGGGGCGATGTCGACTGTGAGGGTGTCGAAGAAGTTCTCGCCGTTGATCGTCGTGTAACCCATGCTCTCGATGCCACGCTGGAACCTGACACAGACACACACACACACACACACGATGCACAGGTATGCGCAAATCGACATCTCTGTGTGAGTCTCTCTCTGTGCACACCACCCACCTCTGTGCGAGTCCGTGGACGCGCCTTGCGATGTCCTTGAGCCCCTCCGGCCCATGGTAAATGGCGTACATGGCGGCGATGTTGGCCAGCAGCGCCTGGGACGTGCACACATTGCTGGTCGCCTTGTCCTTGCGGATGTGCTGCTCCCTCGTCTGCAGCGCCATCCTCAGCGCCCTGTCCCCCCTCTCGTCTATCGATATCCCGATGATCCGCCCGGGCATCCGACGCATGTTCTCCTTGCGCGTCGCGAAGAAGGCCGCGTGCGGACCGCCGAACCCCATGGGCACACCGAACCGCTGCGTCGTGCCGAACACGACGTCTGCACCGAACTCGCCAGGGGGTGTGGCGAGGGTGAGTGCGAGAGGGTCGGATGAGACGACGAGCTGTGCGCCGTGTGCATGGAGGGCGTCTGCGACGCCCCTGAAGTCCTCAAGGGTGCCGGTGGTGTCGGGGTACTGGACGAGTGCGCCGCAGACGGACTGCTTTGAGAAGTTGAAGTCGTGATGGTCGCCGACGATGAGCTTCATGCCGATGGGCTCGGCGCGTGTCTTCATGACCTCGATGATCTGGGGATGGGTGCGGTCGCTGACAAGGAAGACGTTCTTGGTCGGCTTGGCGCCCGTCGACCGGAAGACCATCGTCATGGCCTCGGCACCCGCCGTCGCCTCGTCCAGCAGCGACGCGTTGGCGATCTCCATGCCGGTCAGTTCCACAACCATTGTCTGGTAGTTGAGCAGCGACTCGAGCCGCCCCTGGCTGATCTCTGCCTGGTACGGGGTGTAGGCGGTGTACCAGGTGGGATTGGTGACGAGGCAGCGCTTGATGACGGGCGGCAGGATGTTGTGGTGGTAGCCCATGCCGATGAAGGACTTGTGGACGACGTTCTGCCTGGCGATCTTGTCGAGCAGGGTGCTCATGACCGTCTCGCTCTGCGTCGCCTCGTGCAGGTTGAGCTTATCCTTCCGCCGAATGCTCGCCGGCACCGTCTGCTCTATCAGCTCCTCAATCGAAGACACGCCCAGCACCTTGAGCATGTCAGCCACCTCGGTGCCGTCAGGGCCGATGTGTCGACGCAGAAAGGTGTCAGAGGGGCGCAGAAAGGATGGCACCGACACATCACTGCTGCTGCTGCTACTACTGCTGGTGCTGGTGCTGGGGGAAGAGGCTGCTGACGAGAAGTGTTGGACAGCAATGCGGCGATGCTGTGAGGAGGGGGGTAGCTTGGCTGCCCTCGCACACACGCATCCTGCCAGCCGCCTCGATGCAACGGCCCTCATGGTCTCACCGATATGTCCGCCCTCAGCGAAGTACCACAGCAGTACCACAGCTGGCGGATACGACGAACGTGTGTTCTGGAAACGCTGATTAAGAGAAGAGTCCAGTGGAGCTGCGCGTGAAATCCATCGGAAAGGGTCGCAGGGGAAGCGGCTCAAGTACAAGTATTGCTCAAGTATTGCCTCGAGCAGCAAAGCAGCCGCTCAGTTCATTAAAGTAACCACTGGATGTAACGTTGTGTCGACGTTGGGGTGTTCGGAGCGCCGCCGCGGGAGTGTGGCCGAGAGTATGGCTATGGCGCGCGAGTGCACCCAGGGTGAGGGAGCCTCAGGGAGGGCCGGCAGAATGAATGGAAGATTGAAAGGCCTGCATCCCTCCCTGCTGTCTGCCATTTACACTGCAGGCACTCTCAGACTGCAGATGAAGGCGCCATATGAGCAGCTCGATGAACAAACCGAGCACCGCACCGCCCAGGCAGTGGTACGAGGGTTTGCACGAGTTGATCAAGCGAGGAGGAAGGCAACGGGCCCTCCCTCTGTGTCTGTGGTGATTGCAGATGTGGCTCATGGCACACAGGGGTTTCAAGCTCGACTTCTTGGTGACCCCACGCCGTGGCCGGTTCGGCACCGTCGTGGCGATGAGGGACTCCGACGGTCGGCGGTGGGCGGTGAAGCTCATGTCCCACAGCGAAACAGACGCCAACGCACAAGTGGTACGCTCACACGCTCTAAGGCAGCAATGTTAATCAACACACACACACGCACAGGGAGGGTACTTGGATGTGTGTGTGTGTCAGGTCAACGGGTGGTTTCGCGCGGGCAACGACCTGTGGATCGAGGACTGCCAGCAGCGCGCCAGCCAGCCCTACCCGATACAGCCACCGCCCACCATTGTCCGGTGCCGAGCCGTCTACCACATCCCGGGGCCGTATACGACGCTCGGGGGCGAGCGAGTTGAGGGCGTCACGGCGTATCAGCTGGAGTGGATCGACCGTAAGCAGGCCACCCACCACATTTAAGGGTGGATTGCATGACTTTCGGCTCTCTCTGTCGGTGTTTATTGTTGTGTGTTTGCAGGGACTTTGCACGAGTTGAGGGGCCCCCTGTCTGAGGCAGCCCTGACCGCCATAGCCGAGGGGGTCGTTCGGGCGGTCGGCTACCTGGGGCTGTGTGGGCTCATCCACGGCGACATACACGTGCGTACTCGTACCTATGTGTATCACACACTCACTGACTCGCACCTGTGTGTGTGTGTGCAGGCCGGGAACATCGGAGTGCGGGTACGTCAGGCGGTCAACCCCACCACCACCACCAGCACCACCACCAGCAGCGCCGCTCGCGACAGAAAGATCCGCGACGGCGACGGCGACAGCGATGAGTACGAGGCCGTGTTGCTCGATCTTGACCGACTCCACAGGGAGAACGGCAAGGATCGCTTCAGCTTCCCCGAGATCAACAACGCCCTCGCGCCACACGGACAGGAGCAGCAGCCGCGGCCCGGCATGCTCTCTCACGGCCGAGACATGTACGATGCCGTCCACTGGCTCATCCAATCACTCAAGCGGCTTGACGCACCGCGGCGCCTAACCGCCGTCTTCGAGGACGTCCTGGCCATCAGTGAGAGGCAGCCCGCTGTGTGCTTATCTCAGGTGGGTAAGTCGGCACATAGACCACTCAAACAGGCAACGCCTGCCCACCTGCATACGTGTGATGTGGTGTGTATGTGTGTGTGTGTGTGTGTGCGTGTTGGATGACCAAACAGATACTGTCGAAGCTTCGAGCGTTGCGCAAGTCGACGAAGGCTCCCCCCAAGCCGTCAGCTGCCGCGTGTGGCACTGAGAACCGGAAGACGCCCCCTCTCTCGCCGCCCTCGCTGCGGCTGCCGGGCCATTTCACGCCGCAGCTCGACCCGACCCGCCCCACCATCTGCAACACCCGAGGGGCCCCCCCAGCACCACTAGTAGGACATCTGGCCGACCGCCACAACACACACCGCCCCCCTGGAGGCGTCATCGCGCCTCCCATTCCCCCATACCCGCACACGTCGCTGCCGGTGTGCAGCTCTCTCGTTATGGTGGTGCTCGTTTGCAGCCGACACACAGGGACGGCCCTGGTTTCGCTGTTAGCGGTGCTGTTCCCCCCTTCGCCCCTACCCCGCTGTGTCCTGCCTGCTCGCCCCCATTGCCCCACACCAACACACGCCCACCACCAGCAGCAGCGGCACCAGCAATGATGCCTTACCCGCCGCTCTGCGCGCAATACGGCAAGAGCCCAGCTACTCACCACCACTACAACAGAGGCGGGACACGCCCACCAAGTCCACCACCTATGAAGGCGCAGCAGGGTGCCAGGCTGAGGAGGGGACAGCAGAGGGCGGCTGAAGCGGCGCGAGAGGCGGCGGAGGGGGCCCGCAAGCTGGCGCAGCAGATACGGGAGGAGCAAAGGCAGTGGGAGGAGGCGTCGCAGGTGCGCGCGGACACGCACAGACGGCCGTATTTCTCTCCTTTGTGGTTGTCTTCATGTGTCTGCGGTGCGGTGTTGTGTGCGATTTCCTGCAGGCACCCGCAGTACCTGTCCCCTACCGTCCGCCACTGCAAGGGCACCCACACGCACAAGCTGCGGCTCCAGCACCGCGACAACCACAGCCGCCCCCGATGGCGGCGATTCATCCGCCGCCCATGATGCCGGTGCCACCGATGGCACTGATACCGCCCGTTCATGTGCCCGGGATGGGGCATGGTCCGTGCCTCCGAGCACCCCCACCTGTCCCCGGGATGCTGCCATTACCACCACACCACCACCACTATGGCGTCCCAACACCACCACAGGAGAGCGAAGCAGCAGCGGGCTGGAGGTGGTTCTTGGGGCTTTTCCGCCGGGGATGAGTGGGTGGCGAGAAAGGGCGCATTTCGGGGACATACAGAGAGGTGACGTATACCGGATGGTTATCTTGGATGCCTGCCTGCCTGCGTCAGCCCGATGTGTGTGTGAGTGATTCTCTTTCTTTTTTTGGTCTGTCCTGTCTGTCCATCGCATTTAAGTCTGTCCGTCGGTCGTCGAGTCTGCTGTGGATGGATCGATGAATCGTTTGAGTAGGTGCTCACATGCCTTCCGTCTGTCCGTCTGGCTGTCTGTCTGCTGTCTGGCTACTTGGTGGGTGCCGTGTGGCGTCACGTCAGCCATGCACAAAGGGCCGCGCACCATCGCCTTTTTCTTTTTCAATTTCGTTTGATGGCCATTGCTTATCGTCTCAGTCTCTTTTCAAAAGTAGCTGACACTGGCTGCCTCTGTCCTTGGTCGTTTTATGTTAGTTCCAAGTCTGCAGCCGACACGGGCTGCCTACAGCTGTCTGTCTTTTTCCTGCAGCTGCGTTTTTCCTGTTCCTGTACGGTTAAACTCTGCTTTCAGTAGCAGCTGACGCGGCTGCCGTGTTTGTCCGTCTGTTGCTTTCATTTTAAGGCAGCTGATACTGGCTGCCATCCATCCATCCATCCATCCGCCTTTTTCCCATTACTTTTTCTCGATCGTCTCACTCGCCTCGCTACGTGGCCTTTGGTGTTGTGGCCCGCCCTTCTGAACATGTGCTGTGCGCTTTGTTGTCGAGTACCCACCCCACCGATGACGTCACACGAGCGGGCACCCGCCGATCACAAATCACGCACACACACACACACACACGGAGAGTTGGACAGCCGGCCGGAAAGGCGAGCATGCATGGCTTCCGGTGGGGTGGATGTGGTGCCGTCTGGGTGCGTCGTACTCTCCGTTGACTGGCTGCGATGTGCGCTGCTTGCTCGGTCGCTGTCTGGCTTGCGGTGTGTGCAATGCATACTGACATGGTTCGACTGGCTGCGTATACCCCTCCCTCTCCCTAGCTCTAGGCGGCTGCCGTGGGTGTGGTGAAGGCTGGCACGTGCGAAGCACCTCTGCCACTCGTACATTCACGCCTGTGGCACAACGACATCGTTTACACACAAACACACACACACACACCTATGTGATTTGTCAGTCGTGTGTTGCGCCTGTGACGGAGAGGGGGGGGGGGGGGGGGG